CAAGCCACATTCTGCATGTGTTACAATAGTGTGGCTTCATAGTAAGAGAGTGCAGGTTCCAGACTGTCTCTTTTGAAAATGTGTGGCGCATTATGAAGCACAATCTATAACACTTGACTACAACAACTGGTGTCCTCAGTTCTCAAATGACTACTGAACGTTGTTGTAAGAATGTGATGTGACACAGTGGTAAACATGCCCCGTCCCCTCTTTTTTTGGAATTTAGTATGCACATATATATATATATATATATATATATATATATATATATATATATATATATATATATATATATATAATAACAATAATAATAATAATAATAATACTACGGTTAGCTTTAATATTAGCTGAAACATTAAATATCTTGTTTGTTTTATATTGTTTCCAACTGAATACACTTCACAAAGGATTTGCAGTTCATTGCTGTGTTTTTATTTACATTACTTCTGCTGTCCCAACTTTTTTGAAATTGGGTTCCTATATGTTTTAAAATAAAGATGCAAAAAACTTAACTGTGCCATTTTTTTCCATGTTTAATTACATACATGTTAGCATATTGAAATATATGCATATCTGTAGTTTAAATATACGCAACAATGCATTTTTTAATATTTACGTATATACCAAACAAATAACAAATTCTGAAAACTACATGGAAATTCACTTCCTTTGCAAATGGCTGTGATAAAGAGGAAAAAGGGTGTGTTACAGTGCAGTAGCATTAAATGGGGGGAAGGGACAGAGTGCAGATTTAATCATTAACACCACAACTGTATGGACTGTAAATACAGAACAGATGGAGAAAGATAATGCAGTCAGTGCGCACAAATGAGTATCTCATTCAATATTTTATCTCAATTCCACATTCTAAACATGGCCAAAACCATATGTAGATACCCCATAACTCAGAGACTAATTTGGTCTTTCCTTCTTGCTCTGTTTTCTTTTGTTTCCTTCACTCTCTCTTAACCTCCCTCACACACACAGACACACAGGCCCGCTGCTTGTCTGAGTGCACCACTATCAGATCAGGCAGGCTTTTGAGAGCAGACAGAAGCTGCCCAATGGAGTCATATCATAACCGGCCCAGCAGGGAGCCTGCTGTCACAAACACATAGCATAAACACACACACACAAAGCATGAGCACAAACATGAGCATGGCATAAACACACACAGACAGAGGATCAATTCACACACACAAAACACTGGACTGAATATCTCTCCTTTGAATGTAGCTCAAACTGAACATTCAGTGTGATAGAAATACACAAGTATTTGGATCAATGGCAGATTATTCTTACTAGGGCTGGATGATATGGACAAAACACCAGTACTGTGACTGTATCACTACCAGTCACGTGACTATTAGACCTATGCCTTCATTTGGGGCTATAAAGGTCAGAATTCAGCCAAAAAAAAACAAGGAGACACCTCTGTGATCATGCTAAGTTTTTGCTTACACTCACATGGGATTCCAGTGGTATGTTAGCACTAAACAAACAGCAATTCATGTGAACATTTTTTGGCTGTTCTGCACTAAACTCGGACATCTGCGTTTTGTAAACGACATTCTATGCGTCATTTTAGAAGCTGTAACAGACAAATTGACATATATTTTCACCTTGCAGCAGTTTTTCAGTTATTCGTACAGTAAGAGCCCTGGCAAAGAGCTGCTGCTGTTTTCCATTTCTAACACCTGACTGAAACGCAATGGTCAGGCTACCACTCAAACTCGCAGTCAGTGACGTATCTACAACTTCCGGAAGGCCTAGAGTGACCTTTTATTCTCACAAAACTGGTCCCACCCGTTGGAAATCAGAATGGGATTCCATTGTTAGTACTTCCGTCCAGCTCCTGAAGTCCTAACCAATGGAAAAGCTACCTAGATACATAGAGAAGAAAAATCTTGATTGGATCATTTTAAATTGAGTGCTTCAAGAATTTATCCCTTTTGTTTCCAACCAAAACCTAATAATGAAATATGAGAAACCCAATGAAATATGAGAATTACTAAAAATAGTTCTAAAGTACTGAGTTTAATTACAACAAGCATGATGATTCTATTAAATAAAAATGAACTAAAAATTATAGACATGTATTTTTTATGATGTCACAGAAATAATTTGGCCTTTTCTGAAGGAAGGCCCCGGAGATTCCTCACTGCTACACTTTTCAATAGTGATAATTTGGGATACCTCAAAAACACATTAGTCGAACGCTTGATATGACATGATTCAGGATTGGCCTGCAAAATTATTTACATTTATTGGATCATGTGAAATCCTTAATTCATCCCAACAGCCCAAAGAACATCTGTGATTAGTCAGGATACTCATAAAACATGAATCGATTGGTGAGAGGCTTACTGCATACTGCAGACTTCTATGATATCAGTATTTTGAAGGCTGATATGGCGATACTATTTGCAAACTATATATTGTAAAGTTCTAATCCTAACACATGGACTAAAAAGACTAAACAAAGACTAAAAAAGTTAGAAAGGAATATTAAAGAAATATTTACAGGTTTTTCGTGCCAATCTCTATCTGCTGCATCTGTATGCCATTCAGTCGAGTTCCATGCACAATAATTTCAACACATTTCCCGGGACTCAGAAAGCCTAACTCATAGTAGAAGCCAATGGGAAGCTTCTTCAGCTTCTCTTATATGTGTGTTTAGAGTCAACAGGTTTTCTGTACGTTCTAAGAATTACTGTCCATGGTAAATGACTCTGCAATAAGTAATGTTTTCCGTAACTACACGCCCACATGTGATGTGTTGTATATCTATAACTATTCTTTAACATACACTACACAGAAACACCAGTCTCCAGTGCCCACAATAGATGTTAACCTTGTGTCAAACTCTGCTTTGGCCTATTCTTAACTATAATGACTTCATCATTATTACCGTGTCTTTTTTTTTAACTGCTACAGCACTGAAAATCCCAACCTGCACATTACCTTCACTGCAGTTAAGCAAATTAGATCAAGCTCAGATCACATGACAGGATTTCTAGATACAGGCTGCTTTCCTTTTATGATAATGTCCTTCCTTTTATATGTCTGCCACTTGTGGATCGCTTTCATATCCATTTATAAGTGCTTGGCTTAGAAACAGGTACAGAACAGTGGCACCTAGCTTTTATATGGTGGCTCAACTATAGAGACCGAACATCTAAACAGAGTTTAAATGCAAATTCTGAAAGACTTTGAATAGAGTGACAAAGGTTGCTTATTCAGAATAATTCAGCTACATTTCTTTGCTTTTTCACCCTGACCATGTTCATTGTATTTGATATGAAAACACATAGCTTAACCGTACTGAACTGAAGATCTATCCATGACTGGGGTTCAAATTCTAGGTCCTATTAGTTGTAGATATGGTAGTTATATTTGCGTTACACTGTCACACAGCCATATAACAATAGCAAATCTAGGGGATAATTACTGAAAATCACATTGTAACATGACTTTAATGTTATGCGTGATATGACTGATATGATCTTTACATGTAACATGACTATAATATTGTATACACGTTAACATGACTGTAGCATTGCACGTAATGTAATATAACATTATGTGTAACAGGGGTGTAACATTTACATGCAACATGACCAACATTACATGATTCTAACATGACTAAAATGATCTGTAACATGATTTTAATGTTGTGTAACATGACAGCAACATTACAGCTAACATCCAGATTGTTGTATTTTTCTATTTGAATAGATGCCTGTTGATAGGATTTTTTTATATTTATTCTTCCTGTTATATTGTTTACATCCTTATTACTGTCCTGTGTTGTGTGACTGCTACTGGCTGCTAAATTTCCTTCGGGATCAATAAAGTATCTATCTATCTATCTATCTATCTATCTATCTATCTATCTATCTATCTACTGTAACAGTGCGTTTAACAAAATTGTAACATTATGTGTAACATGACTAATGTGACTAACATAACATTAGTCATGTTCCGCATAGCATATAACCTGATTAACATTACACATAACATTATTGTAACATTATGTGTAACACAACTGTAACATCATACGTCCATAAGTTGTTTTTTGTCTAATTTTTATGTATGTATGTATGTAATATTGTAGATGCCTTTGCTATGTGCTCTGGATTATATAGAGTATAGTTTAATCAGGCCTCTATTTTAAAACAGAGGAATTTAAATAAAGGGTTACACATACATTAAAGCAAGTAAACAACAACAATAACATCATATCCACACACTAACACAAAAACAGCATGCTCTTGCTCTAACACACTATTTATGCACACATACAACCGATGCTCATACCAATCATGTATGTATACACACATAATATTGACAGAGCAACAGTGCTCTGAGATTATAAACTCTCTTTCTCCTTCACACACACCTGTTTGATCTGCATATCTGTGCAGGCCTGTAAAAGCATGCCATCATAAATACAGCTACAGCACAGAGTGATTGTGTGTGTGTGTGTGTGTGTGTGTGTGTAATATCATGTTTCCCACTGAAGGTAATACAACATGACATTTGCGGTGGAGAATGAAGTGGCCTGGATCCATATGCAGCTTTGCATCTCTCTCTCTCTCTCTCTCTCTCTCTCTCTCTCTGCATACGTACAGAAATCCCTCTTTCCATACATCAGCTTTTCCCTCTCTGCCTCACTGCCATCATATGGCCTTTAGGACATGCTTATATAGAGCATGCATACAACACACACACACTGACTGCATCACTGCTCAGACTAACATGACCGCGCAGCCTGTACATCACTCACTTATATAAGGCCGATGTGGATTTGAAAGGGATGCCCAATCTGACCACTCCCCTCGCCCTTCTTAACCCTGACCCCAGCACCACCCTTCAACCCCAGCCGCCCTAACAAGCCCCCTGTTCGGCTTCCATCCTGACCCCTAACCTGCACACACGCTCACACCACTCACACACCCGTAAAGTGACTGCGGACCACCAGATCACTGATCACTGACCTGCGCTCTCCCGTGCGGATACATGGTGTGCGCCGCGCGACGCTGGAGGTCATCCATCCACGGGCGCGCTCGCTCCACAACTCTTCTCCTCCGCCCGCCACGCGACGCTCACTGGATCAGCAGCGACGAACTCCTTTTTTATCTCTTCTTCAAAAGAAACAGAACAGAACCCGCGTCGGTTTCGAATTCGATTCGAATCGTCGTGGCGGTAGCGGTGGCGGTTACGAGCGCGCGCGCTCACGCACGCGCCCTCTCGCTCTCTCTGCGCTGCGCGAGCTACGAAAACGTAAACATCCCAGGCAAACAGTAGAGTGCGGCGCGGATATCTGGTTTCTGAAAAAAAGGTAGAAAAGAGAGAGAGAGAGAGAGAGAGAGAGGGAGAGAGAGAGGGAGAGAGAGAGAGAGAGAGAGAGAGAGTGAGAGCGAGAGAATGAACAGCAGGTCAGCAGATGATCCAGCAGGCTTCACAGCAGCAGACCCCAGACTGTATTATTGTGCCTGTGAGCTTGACATTAACTTGGCGGAGAGCGAAAGCTGCTTTTAAGGTGGACCACATCGCAACATCGCATTCAGCCATGAAGCTGGGCAGCATTTCCCCTGACAACAGTGTCAAAAACCCCAATCGTACAGAAAAAAACATCTAAGCAAAAGATTTGACCACAAAAGCCGCTCTTACCCGCGTTTCTCCTCGACCGTTTGTTGTTTATCTGAAGTGGGGATTCACTAAAAAGCCTTGTTTTTTAACCAACTGTCCCCGCATGATGAACACACGCTACCTTAACGTCTCTTTCTCCCAGGCGCTCCCTCATTGGCTGTACTGTGAGAAGTCACCGCCAATCAGCGGCCCTGGTCCCCACGTTGGGCCGTGACGTAGACCAGCAGTTGAGCCAATCACGGAAACGTATTTAAATGACCTACGTCTCTGCGTTTAATGTGGCATCGTGGGTAATGAAGTCCTTTATGTCGCGGTTTCAGACAGACTGCGCGCCTCGGCTCATTTTAGTGGTCGAAATGGCTATAAAAGAGTAAACAAGGCCAATGCGGGTTTGAAGGCGCACAGAAGCCTCATTCCGAGAGCGAAATGTGAATATTTATGAACGTGTAAGCTCTTGCGGGCTCTCCTTGAAAGAGGTGCTTACTCAGCTAAGCTCACCCTCATCCTCACGTCTCATCAGGGAGGAAAAAAAACACAGCACAGCAAGACTTAGATAATGTGGTTTTCATTACTGAGCCGTGCATATCAAAGTCATGAGTGTGAGATAGATGAGTAGGCCAGAACATACTGGCACAGAATCAGGCAGCCTTTAGTGCTTTTAGATAAATTGAAGACACTTTACCATAAAATGTTCACAGAAATGGCCAGTAGGATGCAAACCACTGAACCACTGTCTTTACTAAAGAATCCCTGAAGAACCGTATTTAACAGTGTAGATGATGATAAAAATACACCACCACACTGTGCCTGTTCATTTCTGTTCACTGCTGCCAGTGTGCTTTGGTGATTTGGAAAGTTAAAAATCTTCAAAGGTTCTTTGGTAAAGGCAATGGTCCTATTTAGAACCATGAGTTCTAAATAGAACCATTGCATGGGGAAATGGTTCTTCAGATTGATGGAGAATGCGCTCTCCATTATGTTTGAATATGGTTCTATATAGCACCAAAAGTGGAACCATTTCACCATGCAAAGAACTATGAAATGGTTCTATATAGAACTCATGGTTCTAAATAACTTACTAGGGTTACTAAAAAACCTTGAAGAACCACTGACTGTGTAGATGGTAAGGAAAATACATCACTACTCTGTACCTTCCTAAGTCCATTCATTTCATTGCTCCCAGTGAGCTTTGGTGATTTGGTGAGTTAGATGCTATGGTGGGTTTGTGGAGGACCCATGTGCTCATATAGCCTACAGTTGTGGCCTTTTTATTATGAAGTGTCCATAGGTGCTGTATGAGTTCTTCTAAAATGGCTGTATGAACACCGTCACCTATGAGTGCTTCATAACGCAATTTCTTCTGAGAAAGACTGTTCTGGTTAAAGGGGGATTCTGATGAATCTCTGCGTAATTAAATGGTTAAGATGTAAAGTCATTCAGAGATGTAAAGTCATTCAGAGTACTGCGTGCACAACTGTTCACAGCAGAGGTGATAGAAACCAGATGTCTGAAGAGGTGTATGTCTCTACAGTGGACTCCAACCCTGGTCCTGGAGAGCTATCGTCCTGCAGAGCCTAGCTCCAACCACACCTGCTCCTGCTAATCAGCCTATTCCCAAGTCCCTGAGTTAAGTGAGGGTGAGGCAGCTTATTTTGCCAGCAATAACCTCAAACAAGTGCTTTTGGTGACTGCAGATCAGACCTGCACAATGTTCAAAAGGAATACTGGACCCCTCTTCCTTACAGAACTGCTTCAGCTCAGCCATATTCTTCAGATGCCTGGTGTGAACGGCTCTCTTGAGGTCATTCCACAGCATCTCTATTGGATTCAGGTCTGGGCTCTGACTGGGCCACTGCAAAAGGCAGATTTTATATTTTTTGAAACCATTCTGTAGTAGAATTTCTTTGATGTTTATCTTTGATAAACTTGGGAATTCAGTTTTCCTTCCATGACAGCAGTCAGACCAGGGACAGAGGCACGAAGCAGCCCCAAATTATGATGCTCCCTCCACCATGCTTCACTGTTGGGAAGTTGTTTTCATGTTGGTATCCAGTGCCCTTTTTACACTATATGGAGTGCTGTGTGTTCTTCACAAACAATTCAACTTTGCAATTCAAATTGGGGTTGTACTTTTTCCTGTACCTGACAAAAAAAACTATCGCATGAAGTAGCTATGAAATGGCTGTTTGCTTGATGCCTGACATAAGTTTTAAGATAAGATTTTAGCCTAAAACTTGGTGGAGAGGCACATGCAAGGCCAATGAGTCCACAAAGGAAACCTATTTTTCCAAATCCACCCTATTTTACTATTATCAACATTACATATAAGAACTTAGAAGACACATGTAGGTTCAATGTTATTTTTTTTTTTTATCCATTTTGGATAATAAATAAAATGCCTATATTTGTGCTGTAGACCTGGTGACTACTGGTTCCTATCTACACTGTAAAGAAATGAGTAAGTTTCTCTACAATGAATCATTTCACATCAAGCCACTCTGAATGACTTACATCTCAATGACTCAATTATGCAGCAAAAAAACCAGCAGAATTCCTTTGTAAACATTCCTCCAATAATTCCGACCGATGGAGGACTCTCTTGGTAAAGCCCCTTTCAGAAATTGCTGGCACTAGCGGGCCAGTTTTTGATACTGCAAGAACAGAGGCAGTAATTAAACCACAATATGAATGTTATCAGGCTCAGCTAGTCTTGGGTTGGTTACAGTGTTCGTTACGGCTGTCACAAATATTACCTTATTGCCTGACCTCAATTATTTGAGATGATCGATTATTTAAAAATCATTCAGGACTACAGTCATTTTCTACAGATTTCTGCAACAAGCGTGTATGGAAAGCAAAAAACTTTTAATGTGTTGCTCTAACATGTTTAGAGAGCAGCACTGAGTAACATTGGTGTATTTGTTAACTATGTAGCTTGTTCTGTGTCTATGTTGGCATGTATGCTAGTGTGTTTTTTTTGCTTATATTTTCACTCTCTTGTTGCGTTGCTTGACTCTGCACAGGCACACACATGCACAATGGTGTGGCGTATGATTTAGACAGAACAACAAGTATTAACTACTTATCAAACATAGCTAGGATGACCAAGCAAGATGGATGATCAGCCAATGTGGCCACTTTGGGCTTGTACTTTAATAGCTGCATTCGGCAAACAAGAAAATCTCATTAAAGACATTACATTAATCTCAATTATACATATGACAGTTAAAGCTGCAGTTGGTGGGTTTGAGAAGAGAGTGGACTTGAAAATTTGAATGAGTATGACTTCCAGGTTCCTCCCCCTCCCTCTCCGCTGCACTCCAGCCCCTTCTCCAAAGCCCCTCCCTGCAGAGGAGGCTGCAGTGCATCTGTGCAACCATGGTAGCTGAAGAGACCAGGGGCACATTCAATCTCAAAACGTTGTGCACTATTTTGGTATGGTTACCGGGTTGAGCAACATATTTCGTCGAAATGGTTTCAAAATGGTACGTTTTTCTCGTTTGGTGGGTGTCAGAGGTGTTATCCAATCAGCAGTGATGGGCATGTAAACTGCGGCATATTAAGAAGGCAGTGCACACAAAGGATTCTAATGAAGTCCTCTATAAATGTGGCCACTGCAGCTTGGTGTACACAATAATTGAAGATGTTAGAAGACGTATTTTTAAGTATTGCACATGTATTAAACTTAAATTTCACCAGGCTCTGAAAATTCTTCAAAAATAACACAGAGAATGGCCTTCTCAGCTGCCATAGGTGCAACATTTGCGTAACACAACAGTGTTCAACGCATCACCGATTCTATTTAAATAATTGTTTTGCTACGTTTGGTCAGGGCTGGATTCTTGCAAGTGGTATTATGGACACTAGGTGGAGCTAGAGGAGCCTGATTTTTTCACAGATTATCTGTCTCATGTACTAGTGTCAGGACACAGTGACAGGTTTAGCAAATATGGCAGAAAACAATTTTTATACGGGGTTACCCACTGCAGCTTTAATCATCAGCTAAAATTTCATGATTATGACAGTCCTAGTGCTTATATTGTTCCTTTTCAAATAGAGGTGGGGTCAGTGTATATGACCTTCTAATACATTTTTAGGGTACTGCAAATTGTAGTACTGAATCTATATCTGAAGCTGTGTGAGAGAGAGAGGGTGACTCCCTTTAAAAGGGGCTTTTTCAACATTTATGCCATAGGACATCAATCTTAGACATTTCCAGGACTGTTTCTGAACATTTGGGGGACCAAAGTCGACTCCAGTCATATTATTTTACATATTTTAAAGATGAAAATGAATTGCCTCAGTCATTAATTCACTTTACATGATCCTTGCTTCATAATATTGGAATAATAATGCCATAAACATGTCACAGCAGATGTCATATACTGTCATGAGTTGTCATGACAGATTTTGTTCAGTAATATAAGTGTCATGGTATGATTACCAGTAATGGTTGTCACAGATGTCATAATGTTTGTCACGTGCTAATTTTTGCTGACTGTACTGTAATTATCTGTCATAACATTAAACATTATGACATCTGTTACAACAATTGCAGATAATGAGGACATGACACTGTCATATTACTGGGCGTAATCTGTCAGGACGACTCATCACAGCATCATTGCTGTTAGAACAAAATTTCGTATCTCGTAATGGATGTTTTTCCCCAGCTAATTTGGGGCCTTTTCTGTTGGTCTGTTCCTCATGAAATTATAACACAATTATGCAAAAAATGTAAAACAAAAGTGGACATATGAGGCTTTTGGTGACTCTGACAATGTGACATCTGCCACGACATTTTAATGATATTGGTATGTCAGTGTTATGCAGCAGGGTTTAAGTGAAGTGTTACTTAAGTTTCATAAATACTAAGATAAATGCAATATAGCAGTAATTATATAACTATGGGGCAACTATATAACTATAGTGCACAAACAGAATCTTAGAACAGGTATATTTTCTATACAAATGAATAAATAAATAGAATTAAATAATTACAAATAAAAAAAACTATTTCTGTTTGAGTGTTTTATCCTTCATTTCTTCATTCTTGATTTTTAGGTAGCAAAGCGCTCAGTGATGCCTTCATAGTATAATATTCTGCCCATTTCATGATCAGCTTGAACAACAAAA